CACACACACACACACACACACACACACAGAGAGAGAGAGAGAGAGAGAGAGAGAGAGAGAGAGAGAGAGAGAGAGAGAGAGAGAGAGAGAGAGAGAGAACTGGTCGAAGTCTCGGTTCCTTGACTCCAAAGTCCCTTCAAATAAAAGCAAAGATAAATATTTTAAAAACAATTGCGGCATCGGCGGTCAACCCTGACGCCAGCCATAGGTATGCCGCCTCCGCACGCGCACACTTGCCATAAACGGTCTTATCAACCGAAGGAAAGATTATTTGGGTCCTAATTTAATCAAGAACAAGAATATTCGTCAGCAAAAAAATGTCGGCTTTGTAATATCAACAAGGGAAATCACATGCGACTCAAAACTGCGCGCCCACACACTCCCTATTTTTCCTCTAAACACACAGCTGGTAACACAAAAGAAAAACTGACCGCGGCTCGTGGCACACCCAACTTTTGCTCCCAATTTTCGAATCAAAACTCTTTTTCTGTCATTTGCAAAAACCAGGGCGGATACCTTTGTAAGGTATTTGCACCGACAGTGGTGATCGGAAAAACCCTGTTTGGGCGAGTTTGACAACTCTCTGCCTACTATTTGAATTTCTGAACGGTGAAGAGTAGTGCAGCTAGAACCCATGTCTGTGGTATTGTGCCCTGTTCACCCACATGGACTGGATACAACTGGAAGTAATGTTGTTCCAGTCAAGGGACAACTCAACTGCTCTGTTTTCTCTTTTTCCTGTGTTCTCTTCGTTTTCCATCCGTTCTCTGGCCATCTGGCAGCCATAGCTGCCATGTCTGTCTTTCTTGTAGATTATTCTATGCCACCCTAGGGGTGGGTTGAAAAGATGTGCGGTAGCAGCAGGGGCATCCGCAGAGTGGAACGGGTAAAGATAAGAGCATATTGAAAATGTGAGGCCCACGGGGGTATTTGCAAATGTGTGCCGCTGTCAGAGGGCGTACTTGTGTAAGTCGTCTGCTTGAAAGGCATAACCCAAAGAGACGCCCCTTCCACCGTCAGAGGGGAATGCTAGTGTAAGCGGGCTGTTTGAAGGGCATAACACAACTTGACCCTGGAAGGGCATAATAAACATTTGGCCCCAAAAAACAAAAAATTCCGGTACCGGTGGAAAAAGGTACTACGAAGGTGCGATTGTGCCCTCACTGAAGAAATCGTGGAGAGACACTAAAAAAAAAAAAAAAAAAAAAGGGTTATTGGCGGTACTCAAATCCAAGCTCAGTGGGTTCACCCATGAACTGTTGAAATACCGACCTGAGCTCGAATCCAGACGATGGAACTTGATGGATGAGTAAAACCAAAGGTTTCTGAATTGCCTGGGGGCAGTCAGCTCAATCATGACATCTCAATCTCAAGGCCGTCGCCCGTGCCACGACAACAACGCGTCGGAGCCTGGTAGGAATAGGTAGGAAAAGGTAGCCAAAAGAAAAGGTAGCCAAGCCCACCCTACTCTCTGGCGGGCCAAAAGTCGACCAGGCACTCCTTCGGTTTTTCATTTAGCACTACTTTGGACATGCACAACAGACAAAAATCATGGTGGTGTATCTTTCCATATTCTAGCGGAAGATTCACTCTCGTTTTGCACATTTTGGGAGTAGTGCGGCGAGGCCCTTATTCATTCACATTTGGAATTCATTTCATATTTTGACCACGTGGCGCAAGGTTGGGGGGTTTCGGATGGAGACGATCGGTCAACGACGGTCAATGATGAGAAGGTGAAGCATTGAAAGCGGGAGAACACAGAACGCTGGAGTTCACCTCCACGCTTCTGCCGCCATATACCATCGTTTCGCGTTCTGCCCTCCGTTTTTCCCTTCTTTCCCGCCCTGTTCATTCCTTCACGAGCGGGAATAAAAGCTCCTGGATCCGTTCTGTTGAATTTTTCCTGTGCCTTCGTGGTCGCCCCTCCCCATGGCTTTCCTGCGTTTTTCACTTCTTTCCCGCCATGTCCCTTCCTTTTCCGAGCGGTAACGAAAGCTCCCGGATCGATGGTGATACTTTGCCCTATGTCTTTCAATGTCTTGTCCTCTTCCATGCTGTGTGCTACATCTTTATTCGGGCGGGGATAAAAGCACCTAGATTATGAAAAAAAAAAAAAAAAAAAAAAGTATCGCGTACCTCAGCACATGTACTCAGGGCACTTTCCGCCGAATGTGGTATCAATTGCGGCCACGTGCATCCACGAAAATTCCAAGATCGAGCACTCTCCGCAGCCTTTAGTCCCTTAGAAGACATGTAGAGGCCGTCGTTCCAGCGTATGGATGGATTTTCCCGCAGTAGATGACCCCACCCCTACGCCATAGCCGGGCGGGCGGTTGATGGCGACTGCCGACTGCAGGCAACGTCAAGAATCAAGAATAACGTGCCGGGTGCTCCAGCAAGCTGGACGGACTACCTGATAGACGTATGTATCTCCAGATCGCGTGAAGGCAATCGAGTAGTCGTATAGGTGATTGACCAGTCAGTAGCCGTACCCGGTCGGCTTTGGGATAGTCAGAGCCGGCAGCTATGTGTTGCTCGACTACCGGTAGTTGATCGAGCCGGCAGCTATGTGTTGCTCGAACTACCGGTAGTTGATCGAGCTACAGCCCACAGTCTCTCTGCCCGGGTAGGCGACCTATGGCGTAATGAGGTCGTCGGATTGGGCGACAGGGGTGGCGGGGGGCAGGTTGTCGTGGCACGCTGTATGGCAGTGGGAGAAGGTCGGCGATGGAAGGTTATTCCCTTCTGTGCTGTCGGTCATTGGATTAGACAAAGTGAGGGCATGGGCTACATTCTCGATGGATGAAGGCTGTTGGCGGAAGGTAAGGCGGGCTTTCAACTTCTCTGTCCTTTCTCTCTCTGCATATATGTGCTTTTCCGTCTTCCTTAGCTTGGGCGTATGCTCATGGCATCTTCTCCTTTTCAAAGTTCTTTTCGTTTTATTTTTCTGCTGCAATCAGCTAGGCTATGGGGCCCTCTCCACCTTCTCCTCCCCTCCCATGTTGATCATCTTTCTTTTCTTTTGCCGAGTTTCTTAAAAGGACGTTTGCGTCTCTTGTCTTCACTGGTGCTCTTCACTCTTTCTGCTTTTCTTGGGCTACCTCGTCGACTTTCTATCTTCTTCATTCTTGTCTTGTTTCCTTCGTCTCAAGTTCTATTGCGTGGTTGGATTTCCGCGAGGCTGACGCGAGAGAGAGAGAGAGAGAGAGAGAGAGAGAGAGAGAGAGAGAGAGAGAGAGAGAGAGAGAGAGAGAGAGAGAGANGAGAGAGAGAGAGAGAGAGAGAGAGAGAGAGAGAGAGAGAGAGAGAGAGAGAGAGAGAGAGAGAGAGAGAGAGGTTTTCTTATTTGTTGAGTGTGTTTTCGGTCCAGCATCCCTAACGTTACCGTCGATTTGGTGATTTATTTTCGGATCCACAACCAATCCGAGTATTAATGCCGACAGTTTTTTTTGTTTTTTTTTGTGGTGTGTGTGTGTGTGTGTGAGAGAGAGAGAGAGAGAGAGCGAGAGAGAGTAACGTGTTCGATGCTTGTTTTACCCTTCGGTCTTTTGTTGTCACATAGAAGCGGTGGTTATCTCATGTCCATCCCGGCATTCATGTCGCCTGTTTCTGCCTCGTATGCCTGTTGTTGTTGTTCTTGTCGTTGTCAGACCAAATTGTCGTGCTGTTTGAGAATCTTGAGGGTTCTTGGGTTTACGCACCGTTAAGCAATCCTGATGATTCTTGGATTTGGATGGGGGTTGGAATGAAATTGTTGTAGGCGGAGAGAGGGTAAGAAGCAGATTTGGTTGAAGAGAGAGGAGCGGGGTGTCGACGGGGTCACCCAGTCGTAAGTAGGCCGAAAGTGTCAGACTGAGACGGGGAAGAAACCGGCCTTCCCATAGCTTCTGCTCAGTGCGGGACTGTGACGAACTTTTTTTTTTGTTTTTTGTTTTTTTTGGTCTAAGGTCTGATCAGTGTCCGCAATATTGGTTTTCCAAGGTTTACACGTGTTGGAAGGTGTGGATGATACGGTTAGGTGTGTTGGAGAGTGTTTTTTCCGTTTAATATTGTCTTTTGAGTTTCTCTCTTCGGTGCGCAATTTCTGTGTTTTTGTTTTTGAACCCCTTTTCTTGTGTTTGCTCACACTTCTTGGCAGTGAACCTTTTTTACAGGAACCGCGGGAGTGTTTCCTCTGAATGAAGTCGCACTTTTCGGGCCGCCGATTGGCGTGATCGAGGGTAAGAAATGCACAGTGCACTCCGGAAGAACCTATTCTGGTGAGCAATCGTCCCCCCTGGTCAAGCTGGCAGTTTCCTTCTCCCATCTGTCTGTTATCATCTGACTCCTCGATCAGGGTGGCAGTTTCGTTTCCCCGTCTATCTGTTATCATTTGACGTGGTAGGCTATCTTTTGTCAGCTGACGTGGCATTCTGTCACTTGTCAGCTGACGTGGCATTCTGTCACTTTTCAGCTGACGTGGCATTTTGTCACTTGTCATCAGCGGANGGCATTCTGTCACTTGTCAGCTGACGTGGCATTCTGTCACTTGTCATCAGCTGACGTGGCATTCTGTCACTTGTCATCAGCTGACGTAGCCTTCTGTCACTTGTCATCAGCTGCTGAGGCATTCTGTTACTTGTCAGCTGACGTGGCATTCTGTCACTTGTCAGCTGACGTGGCATTCTGTCACTAGTCATCTGACGTGTCAGCTTATCTGTTGTCATTTGACGTGGCAGCCTATCTCTTGTCAGCTGACGTGGCATTCTGTCAATTGTCATCTGACGTGGGAGCCTATCCCTTGTCACCCGACGTGGCAGCCTATCCCTTGTCACCTGACGTGTCAGCCTGCATGTTGTCATCTGACGTGGCAGCCCTATCTGTGGTCATTCGATGTGGCACGCACTGGAAACATAGGTTCCGAGCAGTCCGTTGCAGGTCCGATCAGGTCTGGTGATGCCTCTGCGAAGTCTCGGGGACGTCGAATTTTTTGCTTATGTCTGTGCTTCACACCAATTACAGCTTGAAATGGAGGCTTGGTCTATGTTCCGCTCCAAGTGCACTCGATGCAAGTGCAAAAGCGCGGTTTGTTATAAGGTCTGTGATGGAGGTCTGGTACAGGATTAGCTTTGATGAAAGAGTTCCATGCTAGGTTTAGGTGCTGGGTCGGTGGCAGATTTCGTGCCACAGGTTTGGCAAAGGTTCGGCAAGACTTTGGCTCGACGTATGGTTTGTTATGAGGTCTGCGACGGAAGTTTAGTGCCAAGATTTTCTTTGATGAAGGGCTCGATGTGCCAGGTGGTGTGCGTGCGGGTAGTCTCTAGTGCAAGATTTACTTTGATGGAGGGCTCCATGTGCTGCCAGGTTGGCGTGCGGGTAGTCTCTAGTGGAAAAGAAAAAGTTTAGCGCAAGATTTTTTCTTTTGATGAAGGGCTCGATGTGCCAGGTGGTGTGCGTGCGCGTTCGATGCCAAGTTTGACTGTGGCAAGAACCCGCGTTTGGTTCATCGCGGACGCATTTTATATGGGGGGAAGCGATAGTCTCTAGTGCAAGAGAAGAAGTTTAGTGCAAGATTTCCTTTGATGAAGGGCTCGATGTCGGTGCCAAGTTTGGCTGTGGTTGGAACCCGCGTTTGGTTCATCGTGGCCGCATTTTGTGCGGGGGAAGAGATAGTCTCTAGTACAAGAGAAGACGCATTTTTCGTTCGTACGTTATTTAAAAAAAAAACAAAGGATTCAGGGAATTTTGGATGATAAGCTTTGCCGAAGAGTTTGTTGCTGCAGCTTCGGGATAGGTTCGGTGGTTGCTCGGCAATTGCTATGGAAATATTCGTAACCCCCCCGTACCCACTTTGTGGGTGCCTTGGGTGCTCAACTGCATCGTCGTCCTAAAGACGAGATGAGGGAGAGAACGGGAAGCGAAACAAAAAAGTTCCCACAGCTAATCCTTTTGGTATTTAGGTTCTCTCCCTGCATTGCATATGATGTGCACATGCGCGCAATGTGTCCGATGCAAGCGCAACTACGGTTGTAGTAGGGTCGGTATTTCCTGAGGGGCATGAAATGTGATACAAATGAAGTATTCACACAAGAACTTTTTCAACCTGTCTGTGGACCTAATTGCGGCCAGATACATCGAGGAACTCCTGGTGCGAGTCTCCCCTTGAGCAAAACTCTCGAAGCGACATGGGAAAGGTTTGGGAAAGGGACAGGCAACATCGATTTTACGAGAAAGAGGAACAATCTCAGAAAGAAAGGGTTCGTTTTTTGGAAGGAGAAGTTTAGCTTCGGAAAGGAGCCAACTAAATCTCATGTTTTTTGTTTTTGTTCCCTCCTCTCCCTCTCACCCCCCCCTCCCCCTCTCCTAACTCCTCTCCTAACGCCTCTCCTAACCCCTCTCCTCCCCTCGCCCCTTAGCCCGTCTCGCCATTGAACTCGTAACGACTGTAATAGTTATTCTCAGCGAATTCGTAAATAAAAAGCACCATAAAAGTCAAAGCAAGAGTGCTTCTTGTAAAAGGTAACCGCTCCGGTGCTTTCTCCCTCACCTATAGAAAGCGTATCTGCCACAAAATAACTCTTTGCGATGTGAAAAGAGGGGCGTTCTCGTTTGCCTTTACTGCGAATCCGATAAAGGTTTGGGGGGGTGGGGGGGGGGGGGGG